TTTTTATTTTTCCCTACCATCCCCCTTCTTTCCCTGACAAAACAAAACAAATAAGGCTGTAGACTTTCTAGCCACAATGTGTACATTCCCCATTGTATGGACTTTTCCAAAAAAAAAAGGCTTTGTCTGAGACTTGTAATATTTTGAATATTGGGAAGTTCCATGTTTCAAGTCTGGACCCAACAGGGAATACAGCAGGAACACAATTTAAGATAAAATGGCTGCTCCTAGTCAACAACAGGGCCTGATCCAAACCCTCTCAGTGCAACTCATGCAGAATTCTGGTTGAAGGTGATCAGCACCTCCCAGGAACAGGCACCGCATTAGAGTAGTTTACTCTGCAAAACAACCACCAGACTGGCAGCTACAGTCTGTTCAGCTGAATCCTGACCTCTTTGAAGTCAGTTGCAAAAATGCTCTTGACTTCATGAGCACCAGGATGCCCAGGATTGGTTACATTTAGTTTGAAAATGACCAATAGGATTAACAGATAGTGGTATGTGCCATGCAACCTTGGTGTGCCATTACCTCTTACTGACTTCAGAAGTCCAAATAGCTGGATAAGGTGAGCAAAATTATTTTCTTTTTCACCATGTCTTGCGGACTGGTGCAAACATGACTTCTTTTTTAAAGTACACGTGATCAAAAGTAAATGTGCAATACACATCCCTTCTGGAAACCCATTGTTGAATTCTCATTATGTTGCATGTTCATATCTCACATCCTGAACATGGACCCTTTCTCTAGCACAGAAGGACTTGAACTTGTCGCCGGAGAGAATAAGGGCTGATTAGGATTAGGACTTGCATTCATTCCGGTGGGAATATAATATAAACTCTCCATGTAGCTGCAGTCACTGGCTTGGGTAGGTGGTGGAGCTTCACTTTTAGGAACATGGCTGAAAGTTCCATTGAAGTTTGTACTTTCTTGAGCAGGCTGTTGATTTTGCAGATCAGGGTGGGTAGGTGGCATAGCTACAGGAGGGGGTGGCAGGGGGAATGCTGGAAATCCTGAATATGGCATGTAAGATGGTCCATAAACCCCTGGATTCATGAACAGTGGGTTGAAAGGAGATTGGTAAAGCCCACTGTGTGATGCCAAGGGGACAGGTGGTATCAACACTTCGATGTACTGGCCTGTCTCCGGATCGTAGAGCATCTTCAGCTGGGGTTGCCTGGGTGGTTCCATGTAGTAGCATTTCCCACTGTCTGGATCAACGAGCATTTTTCTGTGCACGTGGGAATGTGGAGCAAAAGGCCTGGTTGGACTAGCAGCACTTTTACCACATGGGAAACTGCTGTCACTTCTCCTCATGAAGTTGGGTGACTCGTCATGCCGAGGATAGGGATGTACGTGACTTGGGGGACTGGATTTGGAATGATCAGTGTCTGCCTTCCCCTCTGGTGCTTTGGGCTGAGAAGGCTCATTGCTCATTTTGCTTGCTGAAGCTTCCCCGCCTGGCTGGAAGGACACATTGGAACTGAATGAAGCAATGTCTGGGTTGGAGACCCCTGAGGGTGTAGGAGCTGGTTCAGACATCTGGGTCTTCGTGGGAATTGCTAAGTAGTTTGCATTCTCAGCCTGGGCAGCTGTGAAATACTGTTCAGTTGTTGCCTGCAGTTTACTTAAATGATCCCTACTGTCTTGGAGCTTTCCAGATGGTGGCAGTGGCTCAGCAGATGGGCTGCTTGGTGGTCTGGTTTCTTCATTGTATTCTCTTGATCTATAGGGAGTGTTTGTATTGGCACTCCCTGGGGACATGCCATACTCTGGAACAAATACCTGGCTCCCTGGTGGCTTGAGAGCATTCAGCATTTTGCTCTCTGTCTCCTGGTGAAGTGCATTGTTAACAACATTATTTTTTATTGGAGTATTTGCATAACTTTGGAGGGCACTTGTCACAGTTGGTTTTACAGGCTGTAGATATCTGTGGCTTTCATTGGTTGGTTCAAGTTCAGAGACCTTGCCTTTTTCTTCTGGATTGGCAGAAAGATCTTTACTATTCAAGGGTGTCAGTGAAATTATCTCATTGGATGAATGTGTCTGCAATGACAAATGGGGCTTTTTGCTTCTGTAAGCCTCCAGTAAATGACCTGGTATAGTTGTGTTGATGTGACTATCTCTGGGTCTCTTGGTTTCCTCTTTTGGACATGCTGAAGGTGGAAGGGTCCTCTCTGAAGTAGAAGCTTTGCTGTCTTCTAGTATGCTGAAATTAGCTTGTGATGAGAAGTCTTTTACAGCCTTTCCCTCCACAGCTGAGTAACTTGGAGCTTCTGTTCTGTGTGGCTGTTTTGAAAGAGAGCTCTTGACTTTGATATTAAGTTGGGATTCCTTCTGAGGGGGTTTCCTCATGGCTGCAGAAGAATGTGTTACATTTAACTCACTCTTCTTATAAGGCACTGGTTTGTTTTCAGTCTTTTGTTGTGGTTCTTCATTCCCAGCCACCACCTTTTTCTTTGACTGAATTTTAGTGATGTGCATTGGAGACTTAGCTGCCGCAACCCCTTTGCTTTCTATCACTTTTACAGGCATGCTCATACGTGGCTTGATGGTGGGGTTCAAACTGGTACCATACAGATTCTCTCTTGCACCCTGATCTTGCATAGAATGTACCGACACATCTGAGTCTTTTCCATGGGACTGGTTCATTGTTGGTGTAGCGTCTTTACGTTGTATTGAGGTGCAGTGGATAAATAGTGGGGAGGCTGCAGTGGGCTCCTTTGTTGCTAGGCCTTCACTGTTGGTTTCTTCGCAGGGGTATTGGACTATTTGGGAAATGTCTGAAGATTTAAAGCACAAGCTATAGGTGTTCTTAACTAATTTTCGGACATCCCTGGGCTGATGTATTCGACCCTTCCCTTTACTTCTTGTCTCCTTGGTCTCCTCAACATGTGATGCTTCAGGGCAGCTGGTCTTCCCATCGTCACACGGTTTGCCAGATGTGGGCAAAACGAGAGATGACTGTTTGATGCTGTGCACTGCTGCTGGCACCTTCCCCTCAGAGCTTCCATCTGGAGTCAGGTGCCTAGAGGTAGTCGGTGTTTTCTCCTCATTTTTAGCCTGGGGCATCAGCTTCATCTCCTGTGTTTTGGATGTGAAGGTGGTTCTGGATGTCTTGCTGGGTACTGCAAGGCTTTCTGGCTCAAAGGGGCTCTTTTCCTTTTTCCATGACATTTGCTTATTTGGCTTGATTGCTCGCTGCTTAAGGTTTGGCCACGGCTTTTGTGTTTTAGAAAATGGTGGGGTGGTATCCACTCCCTTTGGATCAGCCTGTTGGGATTCAAACAGGGCACGAGCTTTCTGGTATTCTTTCCTCTTTCCAGCAACCTGTTTCTTGTTGTTCTTGGAGCCCTCATTCACACCATCCGCCAAGATAGGAAGTCTCTTGGACTGCAGAACATCTTGGTACTTCATTCGTTCATTGAGCTCATTAAATGTCTTTTTCAGCTTACAGACATTTTCTCTTAGCTGCTTGTTCAACACTACCCCCTTGGTCGGCCGTAGGACATCCATGCTGTCCTGACTCATTGCTACAGACTCTGACTTTTCACTTGTTGAATGACTTTGCATATCTTCCCCTGAATAGCTGCAGTCAGACTTGGACAGAGAACTTGACTTCTGTTCCATAAAATCCCTCATGAGGTCAGTACTTACGGAGGATGGTGCTGAAGAGGTGGAACTGCCCTGCATGGATTTTTGTTCCATTTTAATCTTTTGCTCATACTGCATTTTCTTGGCCAGCACATTTTTCACCAGGCAAGAAGCCATCTGGGTTTTGCTGTAAGAATCATTTAAGGATGCTGTTCTCATAAACTGTTTGTAGTTTATCCTGAATTTATCACTGATGATCCTGCCTTTTGTACAGGAGTCGTTCCTAAGTGGTAAGAAACCTTGTTGGGCAGTGCTCTCGCCCCTAGCAAGGAAATTCATGTCTTTTCTGTCCTTCTGTTTGAGCTGGATCTGACGTTTGGGAACAGTCCTTTTTTTGAAGTGACTCTGTCTGCTGTCAGCGTTGTCCAGCACCACATCGATACACTCAAACTGCTCCTTCCTGCATGTGTTATTAAGCTGATCTTTTTCAGGGGCTTGGCTGGCAGTTGGGAATTGTCTGTTGCCCTTTGCAGGGTTGAGCACCTCTGCTTTTCTCAGATCATGACATGTTGACCACCTGTTTACTCCATTACTGTCTTCTGACAAGGAATTGGACAAGCTGGACGATGTCCTGTTACTAGAACTGTACATATCTAGGTAACTGCCATGGGGACACGAGAGACTCCGGAATGACAGAGCGGTGAGCTTCTGAACCTCATTATCAGCCTCATCGGAGTCACTCACAGCACTTGAGAATTCAGCGCAATACTGGGGACATGCTGGTTTGCTACTTACAGGCACTCGGCTGGGCTTCTTCATCTGGCGGGCACAGAGGAACATTCCCCCGGATCTCTGCGAATTAAATGGCAAAGGATGATCCAAATATTTAGACCCAGTGTCTCCAGGCTGCAGCTCTCTTGTGACTAGCCCCATCCTGACACTGTACACAGGAGCTGAGCTATTCTTAGCCATGACTGACATCTGAACCTGTTGATCCTCCTCGTCGCTGTAGCAGCCTTGGTCTCTGCAGACTTGGTGGCTTGGGGCATGCATGCTGTTTGCCTGGCTCTGTGGCCTCTTAGCTGTGACCGCTAAAAAGGCTCCTGAAGCCTGGCTTCCACAGGAAATTGAGTGAGTTCCAGCTGTAGATGCAGCAGCAGATGTGCGATCATCTCCTTTGCTGCATCGGTCAGGCCATGGACATGAGGCTTTATCAGAAAGACCTGGTCTCTCACTGAGTTGCTCAGCTTTATTGTCCGAAGGGCTGGCCAGGAAATATTTCACAGCAGCAGAGCTCAGTTCTGAAGGACTTGCCGGTACCAGGTCATTAGCAGGTGAGCTGGTTAACAGCCTATCTATATCATCTTCAAAAGACTCCACACAGTCCTTAAAGCTGTCTGTTCCCTCTGAGCACAGAGCAGTGTGGTAAGAAGAACCAGAGGAGTCTGATGGATTTGCTAGGATGTCCCCCATGGAATGGCTAGGTACGTGACAATCCTTTTCTGAAACCAATTGTTTGCAGTCATAGTCACCAAACAGCTTGTCATCAATTAATCCGGGAGGCTCAGCAAGCAGCTCTTTGCTAGGAAACCGGACAGGGTTTCTTTTTACAAAGGGGATCATTTTTTTTTATCCCATGAAGCACACACGAAGTTGAGAACCTTCCATTTGGAACAATGCGAGTCAGGATCCTCTCTTATTTATTGAACCTGGTGCTATTTCCCTTGGGACTTGAGAACTTGATCTTCTGAAGGGGGTTTTATTTTCCATCACCACTGTTTAATCCAGTCATAATAAAGAGCAAAACCTTGGTCACATGTGCGCTACAGAAGCCAGCCTAGGAAAAGACAACAAACAGATATCATATGCCAATAGAACAACTGACAATAACTCACAGAAGCCAACATATCAACAATTTATTTATTTTTCACCAAGCAACTGAATTAAAAGATCAGACCAATGGTATATATTCAGGAAGCGGTGTCAAAATGCAATCAGATAGAAAATCTGCTCTGAGTAACAGCTGCAGGGCCCAGTCATAGTGAAATACCAGCATTGGTCTAATTGCACAGAATCGTAATCTGGGAAGTGCATCCTTTCCACAATCTAATAGGCCCCTTTGAAAAGGAAAGCATTTGGGGCAATACCCCCAGTTGGAAACTTTCCTGTGCTCAGCACTAAATGGCCAAGAAGAGCAAGAGTCATCTCAAACAAGCCTTTATTATGAGCATTAGGTTATGGACAATTTATTAAAAGCTGCCTAAAGGGGTTGGATGCATAATTTTCATTTGAGTTAACAGAAACCAGGCAACTAAACCCCCTAAGCAGCTTTGCAAATCTTAGCCTTGACACTCATTGTCCAGCAGTGCAAGTTTCTTAAAGCAAAATCATTCTCAACTTTACTTTTCAAGTAACGGAGTCAAATGTTTATTAAGAAAGAAAATTTAAGCACTCTTGGGCAGGGCTTGTACCTTTTGGTCTCACCATGGGGTAGAATTTTCCAGATCACCTAAGTGATTTAGAGTCATTCATAGGTTTACAGACTGTAAAGCTAGAAAGGACTGCTGTGAATATCTAGTCTGACCTCTGGCAAAACACAGACCTTGGGATCTCCATTAAATGATTGCTGCTTCTAATCCAACAACTGTAGCTGAATTAGAGACATTGCTTAATTAAAGATTTACACTAATAGAGGATCCATCACAGCCCTTTTGATAGTGACTGAGCCTAGATCACCTCTGCTTGTACCAGAGATATGGCCATATGCAGCTGTGAAAGATGGAGCTCAGTGTGGGCTGCAAAACCAGTCTGAGAACTTGGTAAGCACCCAGGTGATGCTACCATGGCAACACTAGTACTAGGTAGCTAGTTTAAAGCTTGCTCAGGTATCCTTGTGAGTATTGCCCTCACAAGGATAATCAAAGCTGAGATCTTTGCATATCCAGAGAACATTCTGCATCTTTACCGCACCTTCTTATTGGCTGTTTGCTTCAACCCATTCTCCCTTGCAGGATGGGTCTATGGTGCAACCCACCCCCACTCTGTTCCTGTCTGGGATTGGCTAACTTGGGAGGAATAGCAGTAGAGACAAGCAGCTTGGTATGTAATTTGGGTGAGTGGCTAATGTTCTCCTATAACCTCCTATAAATCTCAGACCATTTTTAAAGCACATTAAGGGTGCACCTTAAATTTAGACTAACGTGCGTTAAAGTGTCTTGAGTAGATGTGCCCTGTTTCTACGGGTCCTGGTACACCAAAGCACCATTCTTGGTTGGCCCTTAGGTTATGTCATAATAAACATTAACATCATTATCATTATTATTATAACAACAATAACACTAGAAACTCAAGTCCTACTGCCTTTCATTGAGATGTGCGTCCCTATGTATGAAAGTCACTTTGGAAAATGTTACCTGAAAAGCAATCTGAATATCATTACAGCACTAACAATGATGGATAACAGATGTTACCATTTTTGCAGGCTTCTTAGTTAACTGAGCTGATTGCAGTAATTGAGTTCCATTTTTAACCTTTCAGAGATATGTTCAGGAGGAGAAAAATCCCTTTCAAATGTATGCACTTCTGTTACTCAAGCTTTTTTCATTTTCATTCTGCTAAGTTAATTTCACTGACATGTCATCATGCCAATCTGTGCTCCTGTAGTTTCACATTCCATATTTATTTTGCTCTTTAGGTTGCTACCATAATTGTGTGTGCCTGGATTTAGAATTGCATAGATGCTAAATAGGGAGTCAGTGTTTGTTGTTGTTGTTATGGGCTTGGCTAAAGCTCATTGAACTCAAGGATGTGTATTGGCCTGTTCATTTGGGATAAATGGTGCCACATAGCTGCAAGAACAGCCGCCTCTACCCAAAACACTGGCACACGCAAAGCCCCGGAGAGTGGCAGAATTTTGTTGGATATTGTCCAGTGAAGGCTCATACGTTTGTGACCAGGTACGTTGTGAGAGAACGCAGCAAAGAAGTGCCAGCCCCAACCCCAAAAGGGCTGGTAACATCGGCCTGAGAAAAATTCCAAGTTTTGGGGCCAAGTGTTGGACAGAAGGAGGCAGGAAGGAAGGCTGTTGTCTCCAGTCTTTTGAGTCCTTCTGCCTTCAGGGAAACAAGACTTTGTATATACCTGGGAAACAAACAGGTTTGGACCAAGGTTACTTGACTTCATCACCAGTGTCTGCCTTCCTGGGGCTAACAGGATGTGCATGGATGGTAAGGTCCAAGAAGACTTCCAGTGAAGGAGCCATTACAGTCCTGGTGCTCAGGTGAGACCAGGGAATGCTGCTTTCTTAATTGTCCCAGGGCCCAGACTATCTCGGTGCTCAGACGAGAGCAGGGGATTCTTTATTCTGGGACACAGAATAGCCCAAAGGAGCAGCAGTGAACAAAGGTGCGAAGGAGGAGGGGAATTAGTGGCTTTGCCCCTCTTCCATGCATGCTTGTACAGCAGCTCTGGGATGTGGCAGTAAGGGAAGGTCTTCTCTCTAGTGGAGGCAAAATTCTTATCAGGATACTGGGCAAGATGGACCTGTGGTCTGACCCAGTAAATGACAGTTCTTATATTATATTCTTATACCTCTCAGGTGCAGCTAGCTGGAAACCAAAGGCTGCTCATGGAAACATGTGAAATGTGAAAACTTTTCTATGAAACTGTTCAGCTTTCAAATGCAAACATTCAATATTTTTCCCCTAGAGCCAGTTAATTTCTTCTAGAAATGTTCCAGGACCTGGGCTTTTCTAAGGAAACCTGGGAAATCTCAACTACAATGGTTTAAAAAAAAACGTTCCCTCACAAAACATCCACTTGCACCAGCAGATAAGCCACTGCCAGTCTCCCATTTGAACTCAGGGAGGTAATTTGTCATTGACCTGTAGGGGAGTAGAATTAGGGCCTCTCTAGTCAGGCTCCACTCCTATCATTTTCAGTGGGGATAGGTTTGGGCTCTTAGAAAGGTTCTTGCCTTTACTGTAGAGATCTAAGAATATGTTAACAGGTGGATTCAAACCCTAGATCTGAATCCTCCTGAACTAACTCTGAGGAAGTTTGGATCCAAACCCAGGTCTGACCATTGTGGTGCAGACCCATGCCTGAATAGAATGGTTGTTTTCAGCAGTACTTCTTTGTATTTCTCTAAGAGATGGAGGATAAGAAAGCACTTGTCTTTCTGTGGCTTCAGGTACCTGTAGCAATATTTATCAATGCATTTATAATTGTTATAGTTCCACTAGAATCATAGAATCACAGAAAATTAGGGTTGGAAGGGACTTAAGGAGGTCATCTAGTCAAAGGGCAGCCAATTATTTCGGGTCGAGGGCCACTTAATGAGGTTTGGTGAGCTTTTGAGGGCCGCATGGGTGGCCCCGCCCCTTGACAGTTGCCCCACTCCTTGACCATTGCCCCACCCCCTGGTCACCATCTTGGGACTGGAAATCTTACCCCTAACCCCTGACCTTTGCCACTGGAAGTCCTTCCCCTTGCCCCCCAGAAATACTTCTTTTAGGAGGGGGGGTTACCATCTTAGAACCAGAAAAAAAGACCAAATCATATACTAAAAGTCAAACACCTACTATAACATTTTAATTTTATTACAAAAAATATTTTTTGTCATGATTTGTGTTTGCATACTGTATATAGAGGTGAATGCATAATAACTCAAAAATAAATTCTTAAGTCTTGTATATTGTATGGTTGTGCGTGTGTGTGTGTGTGTGTGTGTGTGTGTATAGTGGGCTGTGGGGAGGTATGTGGAGGGTTTGGAAGGGGTGTGGCTGTGTGTGGGGGCAAAGGGTATGTGGAGGGGTTGTTTATATGTGGGGGGTTGTGGGGACAGGGTGTGTGGCATTTCTGGGGTGTGAGGGAGAGTGGGGGATTTGGGGGTGTGGGGACCCCTCCACACTCCCCCCCATGGCGCAGAAGTAGGCGGGGTTGCTCATGCCCAGTGCAGGTGCTGGTGCCTGGAGGCGCACAGCTCTAGTCACTGCTGCATATTGTGGTGAGGAGTGCAGCCCCTGCTAGGCCATCTCTATCACTGGCACTCACTGCCACACACGCACAGCACCCGTACTTGCACGGCACAGGAGGGAAGCCCCATGCGCTGGAGCTGGCTGCCTTCCCTGTCCCCTGCTGCGCAGTCTGGGTGCTTCTACATATTCGTTTGATTCAGGATCAGTTTACTTATGATAAACTGTTTGCGAGTAAACACTCCCAGGCAGGCGTCTACACATGTAGGGACATGGGAGCAGATTTGCTGCTCATAGCAGCAAAGTGCTCCCACTTTCTGTGGCCCTGCAATGGCCCCCTTTCACTACCAGGAGGAGCTTCAGTCTCTGACTGCAGCTACCTGTGGCTGGAGACCATCTTGAAAAGCCAGCCCCACTTTCTGCTCCCTGGCCAGTCACTTCCCTGGCTAGCAGCAGTGTGCACAGTGCAGGGGCAGTATGTGGCAGCTGTCTTGTTGCCACCTCTGCCTTGCCATGCTATGGCTGCCTCAAGGGATGCTGGGGCACCCTTACCACCTGCCTCAAGTTCACTGAGAACAACATCCCCCGCGTTATTGTTGCAGCCTGCATGCTGCATAACATCTGTGAGGCCTGGGGGGAGCTGTTTCGTGGGGCCAGGGTGGAGGAGGCGTGGCAGGAAGAGGACACCTGGCAATGAGAGCCCCAGCTGCAGCAGCAGCAGCAACAGTGGTGCCCACTGGGTCCCCCCCCCTCCCCCTCGAGGCCCTGGGCTAGCTGCATAACCACCAGTGGGGGCCATGGCACTAGGTGCAAGAGCCGCTGGCCGATCACCTCTTCCTGCACTCCCTGCTGTAGCCCACAT